CCGGAGTTTCCCCGGCCGTCGGCGCGCCTCCGAGTCCGCGGCCGCGCGCAAGCGGTCGAGCTCCGCGTGAGTCAACGTGGGCAGCCCGCGCGGCCGCCCCCCTCCCGGGAGAAGCGAATCCGAGAAACAGCCGGAGCAAGCGCGGCGGCGGCGGCGGCGGCGGCGACAGATTGTGGGGTTAGCCCGGGCTGTTTCTGCCGGGAAGGGAGACCCCGGGGACCGCGGCCTCGCAAAGAAATGGGATTCGACAGCACTCGGTTGCAACCAGTCTCGGACCACGCCGCGCCCCTTTATTGGTGCCGTAACGCCGCGGGGACAAGTCACGTCAGTTCTGCGCGGGCGGGGCCGCCGGGGGTCTCTTCCTGACGCGACCGCCCGCACTAGGGCGGTCGGAGCGCGCGGAGGAGCAGTCCTTTGAGCCTCTCATGCAATAAGATCCGGAACCTTTGCAAACTGGTCTCTGAAAAACCACGTCTCCAGGGCTACAGTTAGACACAAGACGTGACCCCGTCGTTCCAATTTTGGTGGCTCCTTCTGTGTACGAGACAAAAAAAAGCAGTTACAATTCTGAACCAGGGAAGCTCCCAGAGAGGGACGGAAGGAGACACGGAAGCATTAGTGGCTGGAGCTGCGCCAATTCCGTCCAGGAGGAGCGTTGTAGAAACTGCATCAGGTCCGGAGGAGGCTGGGTTTGGCCACGGCTCAACAGGCCGAGGATGTTACGCTCGCAGCCACAGAAGCAGCTCTGAGAAATGATCTACCGAGCCTTGGCTCCTTACCAGTGAAGCATGTGGGGATGGCGGGGGCAACGGCAGGCATCAACTCAGCACTGACTCCTTGGGGTGAAAGGGTCCTTGGGAAGAGACAATTGAGCCACACGGCAGCCGTTTTCCTCTAGGCTCACCACATACGTTTTAATTTTGTTTAGATCCCCTAGGTACCTTTCCGTTTCTTCTAGATTATATGTGTACATCCACATTACCGTGTCGCAAAAGGAGGTACAGTTTCAAAGTGCAGCTACTGAACATCGTGCAGCTTCCCTGCGGGCTCTCCGTAACTCCCTGAGAGCCCCGTGGCCACCACGCTGCTGCTCACACGCTGCCGCCTCCCAGCAGAGGAGAGTTCTAAGGGGGACCTTCTCGGGTAGGTAGAGGAAGGGGCCACGTGCACGACTCCAAGCTGTTGTCTGAGGGACAGGCAACTCTGCTTCCAGTTCAGGAGCAGCCACCCTCCCATCCCCTTGCCACAGTGGACAAAGGCAGTCGAGAACCGGGGGGGGCGCTGAGGATGCTCGGGGTCTGGGGTGGGCTTTCCACTCAAGGCCCAGCCAGCCCCATGCAGCCTCTCCACTGCTGAGGCTGTCCAGGCCGTGGCCTTGGAAGGGCTGGAGCTGTTGCTTCCTGGCTCCTCTGTTGTGTTATTGCATGAAAATGCACCTGGGCGAGGAGCGGGGATGTGAATATGGCTTGTTCACAAGGGTGAGAGGCCTCCACGCATGCTTGGGCAGCTATCTAGCCTGGTGCTCTCAGCTCCGGGCATTGCACAGCCTCCTTCAGCCTGGAAAGCAGGGAGATCCAGGAGCCCAAGGAGCGGTGCTCCGGTTGTGGTCGATGAACAAAGCAGCAGGCTTTTCAGAGACGCCAGCTAAAATTCTGGAGGGTCAGCTGGAAGTGCATTTGCTCCTCAAGCCCACCAGGCCATATTTGTGGGAATCATCCCAGAGAATTACCCAACATGGCATCCAAGCAAATCTCTGAGCGGGGTGCAAAGGCAATTAACTGGGGAGCACAGAGGGAAAGTTCTCTCCAACACAGGCAGTTGGCCCAGGCAGGCAAGTATAAAGAGGGCCCACCTTTTTCTGCCCCCACTACAACAATTGTGCACCAATATTCTTCTGAGTAACTCAACTCCTCCAAAGTAACCCTTGGGAGCCTGAATGCAGATAGATGGGATCAGGAGACACGTGCACAGAGAGGGATCTACAGCAAGCCCTCAGAATCCACAGAAACTCTGTCCTTTGCACCCACAGTAGCACCATGTCTGGGAGATGTGAAGCTGGGAGGAAGACAAGGGGGTGTCCTGCAAGGCTCCTCCAAGCAGCTCCTCGGGATTGCAACCCTCCTGTCACTTTGCTTCCCCCTCCCCAGCTGACAGCAATTCCACAGAGCCAGGGGGGCAAAAGGAGCCCCTGGACTGGGTCCTCCTGCCCAGCTGCTGGGACCCAGACGGAAATGGAAAGGGGACGGGGCCTGTGGGGCGCCTGCTCTCTGCTGCCATTCAAGGGAAGGAAAGGCTCTTGGTCCGGCCTGATTGTGCCTCTCAGCTCCTGGCAGACATAAGCGGGGGGAGGGGAGCAGCTCTTCCTGCACTCCCAACTGCACAGGTCCAGCATCTCCTCCCCGGCGCCAGTTCCAAAGAGAAGTCATGCCCCCCTTTGGCCCCCCTCTTCTTGGCAGCATCAGGGTTCCTGCTGGGCAGCAGTCCTCTCCACGTTCTGAGATGTTGGCAAGCCTGCAGGCAGAGATGCCTGGACTGTCCCTCCCAGCCTTGGGGAGGGGGAGGGATGGCTGTCTCATTTCTTCCTGCCGGAGGTGCTGGCCCTTCGGTCAGTGTCCCGCTTGGGGACGCCTTCGTCTGTGGAGGAGGTGGTGAGCAGAGCCTGGCTCCAGCGGACAATCTCAGCATGCTCCGCAATGGAAGAAGTCAGAGCCGACAGCCAAGTCTTCATGTCCTCCTAGAGTAGAAAAGGGCCCTTACAGTCTGTAAGAGGCAGAGGTGGGTGGCCCGCTGTGCCCGGGGGGGGTGGGGACAAGAATCTTACCTCATCCTTGGCTTGCAGGAGGAATTCAACCCCATCATTAGTCCTGCAAGGGAGAATCCCATCAACGGGGCGTGAGCTCTGGCCTCTTCCTTGCAACCCTGGATGCCAGTCCCTCTGCCAGGGCCAGCAGAAAGCAAGTCCCAGTGCTCGGCCTGGGAAGGGACTCTTCTCCAGAGGGCCCTTATCTCTGCTCTAGCTCTTTGGCCCATCCTGGGAGGGAGGGCAAAGTGCCACAGGACTCACTTGATCTTGAGCACGTTCTTTTTCTTCTTGTAGTCGCTGGCCACCTCTGCAATGGTGCCGTGCAGGTTCAGCAGAGGCTCGTTGCCGTGAGTGCTCCCGGATTCCCGGCCCTTGGAATCCTTGTAGAATCCCAATTCCCCTTTGCTGAGGATGCAGTAAAGATTGATCCAAGATCTACCAGAGTGGGAGGAAAAGAAACTCTTGCAGGATCCATGCATACTCCCAGCAGTTGCTCCCAGAAGCTCCCTTGCCTTCATTTGGAAGCTGGCACTTATCTTTTCCCAGGGCATTTGCATGGGGATGGGAGAACAGCAAGGAAAAAGAATATTCTCTTCATCTCTGGAGGCTTTTCATCTCCATTAAGCCTTCTGTCCCGCGATAAAGGTAATCCTTGGGTTACGTCCATTCACTCAGTGACCATTCAAAGTTAGGACAGCATTGAAAAATTGGACTTACGACCAATCCTTGCACTTACAACTGTCACAGCACCCCGAATGATGATGTGATCAAAATTCGGGCTCTTGGCGACCTGCCCACGTTTGTGACCATCGCAGCACCCTGCAGTCACATTATCCTGCCCTGTATGAACTGCCTCTGCTTCAACTCCCCCTCCCCATTTCCCCTCCCCATCTCTGCCTTTTTGGCCACCCTGCACAGCATGGCCAAAATGAAGAGGCTGCTGTATCCCACCACCTACTCACTGCTGGCCCCTACCGCCACCCCCAGCTAACCTTTGTCATCTTCGCCTCGCCTCCCCTCTGCTGGTCTTGCCAATGCCAGCTGGCCCTCAACCCTCATGGCACGGGTGCTCTGTTGGCCACGCTGTGCAGGGTGCCTCCACCCCTCGTCACTGCTTCCCCGGCGCTGGGCTTTTGGTGGGCCTGCCCTGCTTCAGAAGTCTCAGCCCGCCGCAGAAACAGGAGTAGCACACGGCGTGGCATGGAAGATTTGTGGCCCCAGCCCCTTCCCTTCTTGGCAGAGTCTGGGGTGGCACTCTCTGGACAGCTCCCTCCTTTCTGTGGGGCAGCCAAGGAACTTCTTTGTGTGGGGCAGGAACGCATGCAGCATGCAGAGCCCTCCCAGCCGGTGGTGGGCTGACTGCTTGAGGCTGGCCGGTGTCAGCGAGCCCTGCAGAGGGGACGCAAGGCAAAGACGACGGTCACCTGGGGGCAGCGGCAGGGGGGGCACTGGTGGAATACAGTGGCCTGTTCATCTTGGCCATGCTGTGCAGGGAAGCCAAAAGGGCAGAATTGGAGGGGAGAGAGGCGGATGGGGGGAATTAAAACAGGCAGTTTGCACAGGGCAGGAGAAACTTGAGGTCCACGCCTAATGGCCAGGCCTGCTGGGACAGCTGTCATTAAGTAGCACAGTCATGTGATGTTTTGCTTAATGACTGCTTTGCTTAGCGATGGAAATTCCAGTCCCCATTAGGGTCATAACCCAAAGACTACCTGTGCTCTGCTCCTTCCTCCTCACCATCCCTCTCACGTTAATTCTTCATGCTGTCGTTCCAATGGTTTCCTTGGATTCCACCTTCCCAAGTAGCCTTCCCAAGAGTATACTCTCCAAATGCAGAGACTTCAGTTCCCAGAATTCTCAGAATCCTCCACTGGGGAATTCTGGGAGTTTCCATCAAAGTGTGAACCAGGATAGGAAAGACTGAGAGAACAGCACCTGATTGTAATTTAGCAATAGCACATGCATTGCAAAGAACGGCTTCCCTTCCCTCCCTAGTCTTGCTGCTTCTCTCAGACCTTCATCCGTAACTCCTTTGCAAAGCCTAACATTTGTAAAGCACTGTGTGGCTCAGTGGTGCTGCTTAAACAATTCATTTAAATCCAAAGCTCAGGATGTTGTGGCATTCTAGACCTCCATTCTAGTCCAGGATTCCAAACTCAGACGAGACCGTCGGAGCTTGGAGGACAGCGCCTCTCTGCAGAACCCCAAGTCCTGGGGACAACGAACCAAGAGCTCTCATGGGCTAGGTCACGCTGCCCAGCTGCCTGCTGCCCATGGCCACCCAAACGCCTGGCCCCATAACCAAACGGTCGTCCCGGGCTTCAGCACTGCCGGCCACTGCTCTGCCGGATCTGGGCTGTCACCTGAGCAGCAGTGTCTTGTTGGGGCTGCCCCTTCCCCATTAGGGAGCAGGGTCTCAGCTTGCACCATCCTCCTGCCTCACCTATTGGCGGCTTTCTTGTTTGGCCCCTCCAGCTCAAGCTTGCGGAGAAGGTAGCCCTCCTGCTGGATGGTATGTGTGGGGGGTGGCGGGGGTGGGGCGCTACTCTGGGCAGGGGCAGAGCGTGACCGACGGGCTTCGCCAGGTGGTGCGTTGGGGTCTTTGGGGCGGGGCCTCCGGCGGGGTTTGGGTCTGTCGCGGGCACGGGGTCTGTCTGGGCGCGGTGTCCTCTCTGGGAGCACTTCGAGGCCGTTGGGCAGGCGCACAGGAGACTCTCTTTCCCGAGGCTGCAGGGGGAGAAAGGGCCGCAGATGGCCATGAGCAAAGGAGGAAAGACCCTTTGGACTCACTCATTGTGTGGGAACCACCTACCGAACGCCCAGTGGCTCCCACGGCTATTCAGTGACCAGAGGAAGGGTACTTACAGTGGTAGGGGCCAGCACCCCAGATTCCTTCTCCTGAAGCTGCTCCACGATGTCAGCCAGGGTAGCTTTGCTACAGAGGAAGAGAGGAAGGGTCAGGCCAGAAGTGGGCAGCCTTGCCAGGGCAGCAGCCAGACAAGTGGCATTGTGTGGCCAAGGAGAAACTGGGCAAATCTCGCCAGAAGGTGGCTGCCACAGAAGTGTGGCCTGGGCCAGCCTGCCCACAGGTGAGTGCCCAGTCAGACTTGGCAAATGGCCCACCTGCCCTGGAAATGCTGCCAGTTCATCAGTCTTTCATTACCGGATTAACGTTTCCCCCAACAGAAATGACAGCTATCATTCCTAAACACACAGTCAAAGGTAGGATCCAGCTAATCCCAGCAGATCAGCAGGTCCAGTGAGGATCCTTGGGCAGGAAATCCCGTGTGTGGGCCCAGGAGATGGGAAGGTGCAAGGGGCCTCAGGTCTGGTCAGCACCTACCCGCCTCCTTTGGGGTCAGGGTGTGGGGCCTCCTGCTCGCTGGACTCCCGTCGCTCTGCCCTCCGGTCCCGTCGCTCCCTCCTGCGCTCTGCTTGCTCTGGCCGGGGTGCTTCCTGCTCGCCAGATTCATGCCGCTCCAGCAAACGCCGGGGTTCCTGGCGCTCTCGGGGTCTGTCAAGACGCGTCTCCAGACGGCCTACCTTGGCCTCCACCTGTTCTGGCAAGGTCCCAGGAGCTCGGCTCAGGGTGCCCGCTCGGAGGGCTTCCTCTGCTGCAGCTGTGGTCTCGCTTGCTTTCTCCTGGGCTTGGGCTCCTACTGCAGCCCCCAGACCCTCCTGCAGGTGGTCAATCTTGGGCTGCAGCCGTTCCGGTTTCACCTCCTGCCGGACGTAAGCCACCTTGGTCTCCACGGGCTCCGGGGCCCCTGGCTCCGCTGCACTGAGCAGTGGGTGGGCCTCTGTCCGACCCCGCAAGAGGTCCTTCTTGAACAGCGGCTGGCACAGGAGGGAGGCGGTCTTGGTGCTCAGCTCAGCAGGATCTGGGAAGATCTTTCGGCCCAAAAGGGGGGTGGGGGGCTGCTTGCTCTGCTCTGCTTTCAGCTTCTCAATCTGAGGGGCAACAGATACAAGGAGAGAAAAAAGTCAGTTTCTCTTTCTGCTGCACCCGGCGTGCCCACCCGTCTGAGCCCCGCCCAGCCCAGCCCTGCAGTCCCCACAAAAGGCTCCGAGTCTTAGCTCATACGGTGGTGAGACGTCTTAGGGAGCTGAAGCGCTCCTCCCAAGCTGCAGCCGCCTTCCGGAAGGCCTCGTGGCGTCGGATGAGCTGCTCCACCTCGTCCACGCTGTTCCCCAGCTCCCGGCTCCTCAGCAGGGGCTCCTGGGCAGTCAGCCAGGCATCGGCCACCACTGCCTCCTGCGCAAACTGGTGCACCTCCAGCACTGCCAGGGAGGGAGGAAGAACCGTGAGCAGACGGTTCCCCTTCCCCAGAGGAGAGCCCTGCTGCCCCCGCCCAGTTCTGCGTGCCTGGCTCTCCAGAAGCACCACGGCTGAGCGACGCCCAGCTTGGGGCCCAGCAAGGGCCCTGGCCACAGCAGCCCAGCGATCAATCCCGTATCCAAATTTCAGGCCACGCGTGACCTGAACCTTCTCCCTCTCGGGCCAGCTGAACATGCGTCACTCCAGAGGCGTGCCCTGAGAACCGGGATGCGTGCTGGCCCTCTGAAGCTGCGGCTCCAGCCGCTTCTGCTGTGTGGCCGCCTCCTCTCCTACCATCCAGTGCTCCGACCCTCCCCTTTGGCTTTACCCACAGGAGAGGAGACCCAGCCAGGCTTACTTTGCTGCAGCCACTCCCAGTGTTGATCCCACTTGTCAACCATCTCCTTCTTCTTGGTCATCAGCTTCTCCAGGTGAAGCTTGATCTGTATGGCAAGCAAGAGAAGCTGGCTGGGAGGGGGAGGGGGAGGGGGAGAGGGGCACGGTCTTGAACCTTCCAGGATTCCCAGCTTCCATCACAATCTAGGAAAGACCCTTTACTCACTGGGTGGCTTCGTATACAGGCTCTGGCTTTGCTCAGTGTGTGAACCCAGGCTCTTGCCATGGGCCCCTACGCCCCCAGAATGAGAAAGCCTCTTTATCCTCAGCTCTCTCTGATGACTGGGCCTGGCAAAGGTCTGAAAAAACTCAGAGCAGGAAAGGTTAAGTCTGGCAAGCAAACAGGAGCACCTGTCTCTGGCCCGCCTGCTGCTCCTTGAAGGGCCTCCGTTCAATTTGCTTCCCTGCTGAAGTCAGCCAGAGCAAACACAGCCTGATTCTCTGCAGACCCATGGAACCTGTCAGATGAGCACTATCAGCCACAGGGTCCTTACCCACCTAGAGGCTTCTTGGGAGACTCTTCTCCACATTTAGCTGAGGAAGGGGAACTCCACACTGCATCCCCCTCCCTCTCAGGGCTACAGAGAACAGGCCTGGCTCCAGAATCCCCCTCACTTAACCTCTTTCCTCAGCAAGTCCACGGTAGCTGATCCGCACCCCAGCCATCTCCTCACTGCAGTTTCATCATGGAGGTTAAAAAGACCTGCCTACAGCAATGGAGTTCAGGAAACTTTGACAGACCATTTGGTTTCTTCCCAAAACCGCAAGCCTCAGTAACCAGCTGGGCCCCTGTGCACTAAATGCCCTGAACACTCCAGGCACCAGGTCTGGGGTGCCCGTCAAGCCCTCTGGGCGCTGGGGCCCCTTCTCTGTGAGTCTGTGGGACAGGGACTCAGCCCTGGGGTGGAGACTCACTTCCTCGCAGGCTGCGCTTCTGTTCAGCACCAAGGTCTTGCCCAGGTCCACGCAGGCGGTGATTGTCTTGCTGCGAGTCTCAATTTCACTCTTCAGGCCCTGGTGGTCATTCATCAGCACTTCCACGGTGGACACGTCCCTGCACACAGAGATGCCGTAGGGAGAGCGGAAGGGCCGAGAGGAGGCACAGCTCCATAGAGGAGGGGCGGCAGGGGGCAGCTCCCCCGCTCTCAGCAGTACCTGGGCTTCTCGCCAGCACCGATCTGGCAGAGGATGGTGTCCATCCAGGAAACAAGGTCCCGCACTAAGTTGAGGAAGCGGATCTTGTCGGCCGTGGTGGTGACCTGCAACCGGCAATCTTCACACGAGCTCAGCAGCTCCTTCCAGGAACGCAGCACCTCCTGCTCCTTGGTGGCGATGGCGTCAGCGTTCTCACCAGCGTACACTGTCTGCAGTTGGGCTGCCACCTCCTGCAGCTGCCGCACCTGCCAATCGTCCCCCGCAGAACAGGAAGATATGAGCCCACCAGGCAGCTCCATTCATCCTCCCCAGGGCCAAAGCGGGGAGGGGGCGGGGGCTCACTGCACGCCATCTCCTTCCCACTCAACTCACCTGCGCCACCAGGACCTGGATGTCATGCTCAAAAGAGTTGAGCATCCTTTGCAGAGTACCAGCTGAGGCCTTGCACTCGCGGGCCGTGACCTCCGGCAGGCGTTGCTTCTTCTCCTCGATTAGGGAGAGGACATCCTTGCAGTCATTGAAGAACTTGTGCAGCTCGTGGGAGGCAGCCAGCATCTGCGCCCTTGTTTCGATCAGCTCCAGCAAGTCTGCCCAGGCCTCGTTCACCCCGTCCTTCCACTCGGCAATGGTGGCAGCATCTGTGTGCCCGTACTCAATCAGCTCGTCCACCATCTGGTTGATGGCCAAGATCCGTTCATTGCCAATACTGCCTGTCTCGCTGGCAAACTCGGTGAACTTCTCTTGCAGCAGCTGTGCAAAACAGAAAGAGGCTAGGCAGATCCCACAGGTGTGTTTAGCTCAACTGCAGCTTAACCCTTCCTTCATTCCGGAAGCTCTCTGCATTCTGCACGCACAGTTCTCGGTTTTTCCTCTGCTGAGCAAAAGCTCCAGGAGCAGGTTTTCCTTCCCAGTTCCTTAATTCCTCTGCGGCCCCCTTCGGCTCTGGAGCCGGCACAGGATTTGAGAGCGTTTTCTAGGGCATGTGCAAAGCACATCTCACCACCACCAAGGAGCCCATTTCTTGGGGCCACCCATTTAAGAAGCAGGGGCGCTGCCCTCACCCTGGCAGAGTCTCCCTCCTGACTCCAGGCCCTCTACCCTTTGCCCTTTCTCACTGTCACATGCTCGTAGTCCTGCCCCAGCTCGGGCGAGCCAGCCACCACCTCCTTTTCCGCAATCCAGTGTTCCAACTCGTCCACCTCACGGTGGAGCTGGTAGAGCCAATACTGCTGCTCCAGGCTGGCCTTGCGCTCCTCCACCAGGTCCTTCAGGGACACGTAGAGCCGGTCCACCCGGGACTGCCTCCTGCTGACCTGCTCGCTGGCAAGGACAAAACCTGGTCAGTGTGGGAAGGCAGAGCGGGTGGGTGAGGGGAGGGGAGGGGAGGGGAGGACCCCACCTGTCTGCATGGCCCAGCTCCAGCAGTGACCTGCACTGCCGTGACAGCTGGGCGATGGTCTCCGCGTAGTTCTCAACCGTCTGCTCAGTCATCAGATGCTTCTTCAGCAGCTGCAGCGTGCTCTGCTCATCCTGGAGAAAGAAATTCCAGGCAGGAGAGTTTATGGAGGCACCTCCTTTCCCCCTCTTGCCCTGCTGGTTCCTCCCGCAACCGGGGGACCCCGTATCTCAAGGGGGCTGAACCACAGCTGGAGAAGGCAGCTTTCCCTCCAAGCACCATTCTTCTGACCAGCTCTGGATCTGGCCCAGCCAGAAGCAGAAAGAACAAGCCCTGCAAAGCATCTCCTGAGCAGTCAAAGAGATCAGCAGCACAGCCTCTCTCAAGAGCTGCAGCTTTGACTGGCCAGGGCTGCTCCAACGCCCCCGTCAACCTGGGAAGAGGAGCTGCTACCCAGCCAGTGGAACCCCCAATCTCCCCCGGTCCAACTCCCTCCAGACGCTGGCTTTCCACTCCCATCCTTCACGGACCAGCAGGCCAGAGTCAGGGCACGTTGGGGGAGTAATCCTGGCCTAGACGTCCACCCCAGCACCTGGTGAGGTTAAGCTGCCATCAAGGAGGCAGTGTGGCCTGGGGCTGCTCACCTTGCCTTTCTCTTCGCTCATCATAAAGAGCTCTTGCTCGCTCAGCCAGGCTTCGACCTCCCCCACATCGAAGTAGTACTGCTCCGCTTGGTAGGTGGCATCCAGCAGCTGCTGCCGCTGCTCCGTCTCCTCTTGCAGGAGCCCCCACAGTTCGGAGAGCTTCTCCAACAGCAGTCGCACCGAGTCCACCTCGGGGCTCTTGATGGAGGCGATGCTGCCAGCACGCTCCAGCACCTCCTCCATGCGGGGCTTGTGCACCTGGATCTCTCGGCGCAGGTTCTGGGATGGAGAGAAAGAGGTTCAGGGCTGCTGCTTTTCAGTGCCAAGCCACAAAGCTGAGCTTGGACTGTCAGGGTCCAGCCCCAGAGGATGGAGGAGGGGGATGGAGCATCCTCTGCAGGGCCTCCTTGGCCACCCTGCGACTGTCCATTTGGGCTGAAAGTGCTTCAGGCTGGAAACCACAGGTGAAGCTAAGCCAGCATTGCTGGGCTGCCCTCACAACAAAACCCCCTTCTTGGCAAAGATCCCTCTCTCTGGGGCAGGGCTGCCACCCACATTTTGGGACCAGTGTCTTTCCTTCTCACCTGGTTCTTCTTGATCAGCTGCTGGACTGTCTGCAGGTTGTGCCCCTGGTCTTTCAGCATGGCCAGCGACAGGCGGTCCTGGACCCAGATCTAAAAGGAGACAGAGGGAGAATGGAGGGAGGGAAGGGCAAAAAAGATGGCCTGTCTTCTGAAAGCAACTCCCTCCTTGACCCCACTTTGCTGGGGTCACGTCTCTGTACCACCAAGAGCCACCTGAGGCTGCAGTGGGGACACAGAGAGAGCTCCCTCGTATCGTGGCCTCTAGGAACGTGCACCCCAGTCCCGAGGGGGCCCTGATCCCTTTTACGCTGTTGTTTCTGGCTGAGGTGCGGAAGCAAGCCAGGTGGCACCCTCACCCATTCTGCCTCCTGGTAATTCCAGTAGCTGGGAATGCCAGTCAAGGAAGAGTTCTGCATGACCTGAAGGTTAATTCCCATTCCTGTGTGTCGAGAGCCCAGGTGGACTCCAAACCCCATCAGCCTTCCAGAAGCAAGTTGAGCCACCACCTCTGCCCAGCACTTACCAACTCGTCCTCCAGATCGTGGCTGATCTGGTGCAGCTCCTTAGAGGCCAGCAGGATCCTCCGGCGCTCCCTGAGGGGCTCGATCAGGCGCACAATCCGCGCCCCCACTGCGTTCTGCCTCTCGTCCACCATCTCCTTGCTGGCTGTCTCCAGGGGCAGAGCAGTCACCTGGACCTGCAGCTCCCCCACCTCCTTGGACCACTCCTCCACCTGCGTCTCCATGGTCTGCAAGAGAGGAGGCTAGCGTTGGCTGGCAGAGAAAAGGCACCCATGAATGCCCTCCAGCTTCTGCCAAGTGTGAACTCGGGCAAGGGGCTCTGTTGCAGCCCCTACAGCGGCCAAGAGCAGCCATCGTCCCTTCCTCTGAGAAACAGCTGGCTGCCGTGAGAGCTTATGGCTCAGGCCGTCAGGGACCCAGAATGCCCTCCTCCACTCTTTCTTCCCTCAGCATCGTTCTGGTTGATGGGTGAAATTCACAGAAGAGAATTTACACCGTTTGCTAAATGTTATGGCTTTGCTTTGAGCGCTGAAGGCCTGGGATGCCAGTCACTTGTCAAGTGAACTGTGCCTGCAAGAAATAAACAAAAGAAAAGAACCCTCTGGTGCGGGGCTTGGGGGGAGCTTTGGCCCAGCTCACCCTCTCCAAATATCCTGTCCCTGTTCCAGAGAGGAGCTTGGGGGCTGGCAGCCAGTACACCTGATACATCAGAAGGGAGGCAGGAGGAAGACTCCATGCCCTGGTTCCCAAGAAGAGGAAGTAAGCTGAGAGTTCTCCTGGGGGCAGGGGAGAGGAGGGGGCTGTGATTCTGCAGAAGGCCATCTCTTAAGTGTCAGCAAGTGTCAGCTGTGCCCAGGAAGGCCTTTGCTCCATCTGGTGTGCCAGTTGCACCCTTTCCTAGATTGTCACACAGTCACTCATGTCCTAGCCAGCTTGCGGCCTGACTACTGTAACACGCAGTATGTGGGGCTGCCCTTGAAGATCACCCAGAAGCTTCAACTGGTCCAGAATGAGGTGGCTCGAGCAGTCATGGGCATGCTTCTGGACCTCTGCTTCACAAGCTGCACTGGTTGCCAGTTTGCTTCCGGGTGCAATTTAAGGTGCTGGTTACCTATAAAGCCCTACATGGCAAAGGCTCTGGTTAGAGGGACTGCCTGTCTCCCATAGTTCCATCTGGTACGGTTGGCAGGCTCCAGGTTCCATCAATTAAACAATGCCATCTCTCAGGACCCTGGAAGCGCGTCTTCTCTGTAGCAGCACATCCCTCTGGAACCAAGTTCCCTCTGAGATCTGGATGGCCCCCTCTGCTGTTTTCAGAACTGTAAAGACCTGGCTTTTCACCCAGGCCTTTGGTGAGGGGGAGAGAGACCCCTCACTTCGTTGCGCTTGCCATCTTTTGTCTTTCTTTTATTGATGCTATTGTAATGTCCTTGTTTGATTGTTGTGAGCCACCCAGAGTTGCTGGGAATCAGGCAGCATACTAATTTAATAAGTCATCATCATCATCATGCCAAATCCAGTCTGAACATCTGGCCAAAGCTGCCTTTTGCAACTGATTGATGGTGATTTTGTCAATGTCAATGGTGTTCAAGCGGTGCTCCAGGTGCAATCCCAAAACATCTGGAGCACCACTTGAACACCATCAGCATCAACAAAATCACCATCAGTCCATTGCAAAAGGCAGCTTTACTTGGAACAGCTTCCATCCTGCAACGATGCCTTTAACACCATCAAACAACATCAGCCTATCCCAGGTCCTTGGGAAGGACTCAATAGGTGGACAAAAATACCAAATCCAGTCTAAATATCTGGCTGAGTGTGCAACCACTACCACCACCACCAATAATAATTTGCCTATATCCTCAGATGCTACCTTAATAATTCTTAGGCCCTTGGTTAGGACTTGAATTATTAAATTTTCACCAGTCTTTATGAATTTAATAATAGATTACCCATAATAATAATATTACGCAGACCATCCCTGCTCTAGAAGCACCAAATAAACCATGAACCACCTTAAGCCAGAAGTAGAAACAAGAACCCATCTTAACAGACGGATTATGGAGCACCCAAGTAATTCTCAGCACATGGAAAGTAGGAAGCAGCAATGTGGAGCAAGATGCTTTCCAAGGACAGTTCCCCCTGCCACCTTCCATGGCCCAACTGGCTGCCTGCCCTCCCCTTCAACTTCACACGTGTGTGTGGCTCGCAGGCACCCCCTCCTTTCCGCGATGTCCCAGATCTGCCTCTTCAGATAGCAGCTTCTCGGGGGTTTCTCCTCCAAAGAAACTGGCCAAGGAAAACCCGCAGTGGAGATGGAAGGGAGAAGGCAGAGGTGCAGAGCGTGCACCCTTCCCAGCTGCAGGGGCCTCCTGGGCTGCGCTCCCTCAGGGTTCTTTCTGAAGCAGCCTCACCTCTCCTGTCTCCACACAGAAAGCGCTGCTCCGTAGCTCTTGGATCACGGGAAGGCCTGATCTGGATTGACTGATGGGGGGATTCCCAGCCCCCCCCCCCACAACTCTATAGCTCGGCGGGCTCTAGTGAGAGAGGTTCACACCTGCAACCTGTGTGTGTCTGGACCTGGGCCAGATCTCCCCTCTCACCCCCAGCACAATAGCAAGAGAAGCCAGGGAATGACCGGGTGTGTCTATATTTGCCTGAAGTGGCCAACTATGCTGAAGGCCTGGCAGAGAAGGGGGGACCCGGGCAACTGCCCCAAGTGCTTTCTCTTGTACCTGCAGAGGAACCCAGTTCACACATGCAGCTTCTTGCTCCTGGGGAGCCCAACAGCTTGCCATGTCCCACTTTCCTCTGTGGGGTTGGTTCCACCAGTCTCCAAGCTGCACAGAGCTCCTGTGAAGAGGCTCTCTTCTCCAACCGAGCACATTTGAGATGGGGCTCTGTGCGGCAAGGAAGCCAAAAGGCACTCTTCCATTAACAAGGATTCAAGGAACACGTGAAGAAATTAGATGGCCAAAGCATGGGAAAGGGAGCATGGCAGCAGCTGCAACCAGTCAAGAAAACGAAGGACAAGTGGGCAGAGAGGTGGGGGGCCAGAAATGCCTCCAGCCATTCCCATAAAGCAAGCTGGGCCAGGCACCCTTAAACCAAGGAGTGCCTCACCCCACAGAGCCAAAGGCCTGGCGGTCTACGATATTGGCCAAGGCTGCCCACACAGCCCACAAATCAGATGGAAGTGCTTTATGTGCTTGTAACCTACAGGCAGCCCGTTGAAGCCAGCAGTCTACAATTACAGCAAGTAGCCCAGCCAAGCGAGGTACCCCTTTCCACCCCAACATCGCCTCAGGCTCCTTTGCTCTCTGTGCCTCCTGGATGCTGAGCAACCTTCCTGGGGCCTGGCAAACCTTCAGAGGAGGAACTGTGCTGGTTTATTTTTACTTTGCAACGCATTCCAGTTTCTTTCATTACTGCCCTGAGATGCCAAAAGAGGTCTGGGCGTGCCAGGATCTCTGGAAAAGTTTGAGCTGGGCCATTCCCCTGAATCTTCTGCCCTGGATAATCCCAGACTGGCAAACCTTTCCCAAAGCTGGAACTGTAAAGCCAGATTCTCTTTGGAAACCCACCCCTGCGGTCTCCACGTGCCCAAATCTCTTCTCCCGAGGATCCTTCCTGACCCCTTGCAACCCACCTGCAGCTTCTTGAGGTTGCTGTTAACACTGGTGAGGTCCGGCCCTGTGTCCACAGCTTGCAACTGGCCCTCCATGTGGAGGAGCTGCTTGTCAAGCTCAGCGTAGCTCTGCGCTAAGCGGTCAGCCTGGGCGGCTTCCAGCAGCTGCTGTGCTTTAGCCTGGGTGGCCGACTCCAGTTCTGCCCAGCACTGTTGGATCTCCCCGAGTTTCTTCCGCACGGTTTCTGCCAGTTCTGGCTTCTCTTGGATCAGCTGCTGCCCCTCCTGTGGGAGTGAGGGAGGGGAAAGGGGAAAAGCTGGCAAAACACGCCACTGGTTCTGCCACACACCTGGACACTAAGCCTGATGCGTCTGGCTCCTGAGGGTCCCGGGGGAGGAAAGCGCTCCTGGCGTGCCCCTATACATCTTGGGAAGCTGGGTCAGATGCCCTCAGGTTCTGGGAACTGCATCAGACACAACGTGCCCTCCTTCAGCTCTGGGGTCTGAATTCCGCATCAGCCCCCTCTCTGTAAACATCCCCTGGGCTTCGTGGGGTGTAGCTCGAGGGAGAGATTGTGGGGAAGCCAGGAAAGTCACGGGGGGGGGGACGTCAGACATGCACAAAATCAGAGAGGAATTCGTTAGTAGCTTATTTCATAAATGGTAGCTTGCAAAAAACCGGGGAATTCAAATCGTTCATAGAGCCTCTGCCTTATTAACATGCTAAGAAACAAGGCCTGGAAGTTCCTTGCTGAGATTCTGGCCTTCACTCCTAATCCTGGTACTAAAAACACTTTCTGCTCTGCTGTGAGGCTTTGACACACACACACACGGATAGCCTTGTTATGCTGCAGCTTCACAGGCGACCCCTTCCCACTCTACAATGCCTGGGGCAGGCCATGATCAACAAAGGGGTGGCGGCAGTTGCTGCCACCAACTCTTTTGGCTCAGCAGCCTGACCAGCTTTTGTCATCGGTGGAAGGGGGCGCAAGTGGCTCCCTGCCTAAACGCCGGTTCTCCAGAGCGCCCGGCTGCAGCCTTGCTTGCCCTGCAGGGTGCCATTCTTCCCTCTCTCGGCTGGCTCTGGGCTCCGATGGCTGGCTTTTAGAAGGCCCCAGAACTGCTTCCAGTCTCCATGGGATTGTGAAATGAGGCAGCCCGTCTAACAAAGAGCTGTGGTCCCCTTGCCCCGTGGGAGTCGCTTTCATCTGATGCACAATAACAGCAGGGGAGAGAGACCCAGGGACGTTACCCCTGGTGATTGGGGCCTGCCGCACCAGTCCAGCAGCCTCTCCTTTCTCTCAACTGATGCTGCTGAAGTCATGTACAGGGAGGGTTTCAGGGTGGGCAACCCCCTCTGCACCAGTGGTCTTTCCACGGATTCTGTTCCAGCGCCCTTCACCTGCTCCCCCAGGAGGGCTTCCCACCACCTGTTTGGCAAGAAGCTCGCTCCCTTCGCGGAGGCCTGTTGTGCGCAGGGCCACCTGCTTTGATGCATGTCCTGGACCCTCCCTGGGCTGGGAGAGGCTGTGTGTTCCTGGACAGGCACCCTTCCTTCCTGGGCACGAGGCTGCCAAGGGGCATCACTCCTGTCCTGCCTCAAGGCCCTACAGCCCTCCTAACCGCCTTTGCCTGTGTTGTGGGGGCCGTGACAGGGAGGGCAAGAGCCTCCCACCGCAGCTGTGTACAAGCTGCCTTCCCTGTCTGTGGGGAGGGGGCAGTTTGTGGTGGAGATCCTGGGATGCTGCAGCAAGATGTCCGTGTAGCTTTATCAGGCCAAATATCTATCTTTTTGCAGCCCGCAGTTCTCAAGGGGAGCCCAGAAGCAAGGCAGGTATGCCCAAGTGCCATCCTGCCCACGCTCACCAGGTTCTGACACAAGGGATCAGATATGCTCCTTGGGGCTCTTAGCAACACTTACAGGCCCAGGCCTTGGAAAGCATCATGAGGGCTGCTAGCTTTCTTATCTTCTCTGAAATCTGCAAGAAAAGTCTACAAACGCCTGTCTTTCACTGCTGAAAAGCAATTTCTCATGCATGTGCATGTGCACTCCCACCCCTCAGCTACAAAGGGAACTTTTGAGTGGGGTCACTGAGAAAATGTGCAAGCTTGCTGCCACTGCCAGAGATCACAGTGCAGCCTTTTGCCAGTGCAAAACACCCCAAGGGCAAATGGTTGCTGGAGCTGCATAACACCCCAGCATCCCTCCTGCCTGCTGGCCCTTCACTGATGGGTTAGCCTTATTCATACAGACGTGCGTACAGAATTGCCCCACACACTGCTTTTGTGTAAATGTTTACCCAGAGCAAAAACAGTGCCAAGGCATAGCTAAGCCTCCCACTGCCCCCTAAAACCTGGCACAGTAGCAGCACTAAACTTGATTCAGGCACCAGGGAATTTCCTGAGAGAACATGGGATATTTGGGGCTGTAGGAAAGGATCTTGTAAGGCAGCTCCTCCCTCCACTGACCGCGGCTTGCCCAGATCTTGGACACAGGCAAGGGGGGTGCTGGGAATGCTTCCTGGGCATGCAAAGCACATGGCCTGCCATCCCGAGGGTTTCCTGCTGCCCTCAGCTCAGCTGCAGCATTACCCGTTTTGTGGCGGGGCCACCAACTCCTCAGGAATACAGATGGAAGGAGAGAAGCTGCGCTGTGCCTAAGTCAAGAGACATCTGATGCCAAAACTCAGAAGGGATCCAGCATCTCTAGCCACACCACACAGCAACAAGAGGGCAGAAAGTCCACTCTGTCTCGCTGCCACCCGCTCTGGGTTCAGTGAACACCAGGCAGCAGCGCTAAACCAATCCGGAGCACCCTCAGGGCTGGTGCCAAGAAACCCGTCCCCCTCCTCCCCCCCACACCACCACCAGGTCCACCATCACTTGGGAAACGGCATCTTTTCAAGCACATGTCACAGAACTCTCCACGCTGCTGTCAAACACAAATCAGCCCCTCCTTGTGGAAAACTGGCAAGTTGGGGATATGCTGGATGTTCAAACGCCCCACGCCCAAGGCAGCCATCCTCCTGCCCCACAGCACCATCGCACATTCAGCCCCAGAACTACTGCTCCCAGAGCCCAGAGGAGGGACCCCAGCAGGTGAGCAAGCACTTCCAGCCCCCCCTTGCTTGCTGGGCCCCTTCCCTGGACACCTGGCTGAGTCTCTCCATGGACAGGGCTGCCACCCCACCAGCAGAAGGGGGCAGAAGCCTGGACCGGCCAGTGCTCCAATTCCAGACAGGCAAAAGCTCACCAACCTTCTGGGTGGGGAGGGGGCACTGCACATCACCGTTTGGGGAAGGACACAAACACACGAAAGGCCAAACACAGGCACCCAGTGCCCTCAAAGGCAGACCGGGGGTGGGGGGGGGGGGCTTGCATCAACCCGTGAGTCTTGGGCCAAGACAGAGCAGAGCCCACCCAGGAGGCGCGGGGTATCCGGGCAGCTTCTCCGGAACACCCTCTAAGACGCAGTGCGGGGGGGATCGGGGCCTCCCCCCACCTGAGCCGAGCGCCGCACTGCCTCAAGCGACCTCTGCGTCATCCGCCTCCTCGCTGGGGCGCGGGAGGGTCTCTCCTCCCCCCACAAGGCGAGGGCCCCCGGCTCGCGCTCATCCGCACCCACCTTCTCGATCTTGTGCAGCCACTCCTTATTCTGGGCCAGCTCGGCCACGAACGCGCGGTGCCGAAGCCAGCGCTTGGGTGCCCGCTGCGGCGGCGGCGGCGGCTTCCATGACGGCGCGTCCTTGTCACGAGGCGCCTCGCCGGCCATCAGCGCCTCTTTCTCAGCCACCCAGCCATGCAGCTGCACGCAGACGGACGGGGGAGGCGCAGTCAGCCCGGCTCCGAAAAAGCACCCCGCCCGCTCGGCCTGGGCCTCCCTTCTCCTCTTCCCCACCTGCGCAGTGGGTCGCCTCCTCCCGGCTGCAGCCCTACCGAGGCCCTGCCGCGTCACGGTCCCGAGTGCTCCGAACCTGGCCGGCGCGCTGCAGCGGGTGAACTGGGAGCCACGGAGTCACCCTCCCTTCCTACAGCGAGCGAGCTCATTCCGAGTTTGGGGGGGGGCACACGCTCCCGGGTAACAGTTTGGGGGGAGAAGGGCAGCGTTCAAACGCCCTTGTTCCTCCCCCCGCTTCTCCATTCATTTCAGCCTCCAGCCAGCCTATACCGAGGCGGCTGGGGGAAGCTGGACCCTCTGGGCGGGGCGGGACATTAGGGTGCCCCGAGGCGACCCAGCCTTGCTTGGAGCGTCTTCCCCTCTGCCTCGGGAAGGGGCAGCGCGGGCGGAGCGGCTGCAAAGCAAGGAAGCCGCTGCGGAGGAAGGAGGCGGGATGCCCCCTCTTCCTCCTCGCGAGCAGAGCCGCTTTCTGCGGCGGGGTTATTCCTCCTCTCCAGCCCCCCGAGAGTAAACTCCCGATGGAATCACCAGCTGGAGGGACGTGGGAAATCGAAAAGCCCACACCGCCACGCCACGCCACGCCACGCGCCTCCAAGGGATGAGATAATCAGGCCTCCCCCACAGCCCTGTTCAGACCCAACCGGGAGGGAGGACAGAGTGAAACTCAAGCAGGCCTAATCAACATAATTAAAGGAACAGCGTGCGTGGACCACACTGTATCAGGAAGGCCTGGAGCAAAGGTGAGACGGGAAGGCTGTGGGTTAAGGAGGCAACTTCTGATGGGCCTCCCCTTTGTTCATTCCTTCTCCTTCCACTGACCCTCATCCTGTCCGTTCATCGGCGTGCATGTGCACGCCTGAATGTTCCCTCATGAAAAAACCACGGAAGATCAACACTGCCCTACCCTTCACTGGACACTGGATTTCTCTGGACAAAGCAGAACAGCCTCCCCCATCCCTTTCTGGGGTCCTCCAAAGGACCAGCTGCATTTGGAGGAGCTTAAGTGGGGCAGGTGTCCCCCACGTCTGCCGCCCTCAAGTCCACGGCTTTCTCTTGCCTCTCGGAGGACAGGCAGGGCGCACCTGGGAGTCCCCAGTGGGTAATACCTCATGGCAGGTTTGCAAAAAGCGCTGCAGCTCCAGGTGGTCACTCAGGCGCTGCATCCAGGCGTTGGCCAGCTGGACATTCTGTCCGCTCCTGCAAGGAGAGCAACTGGTCAACCTGGGTGGGATACCAGGAGGAGGAACCCCTCTGGGCTCCCTGCCCCCTTCTCACTCGCCCACACAGACCCTCCTCCCGGCCACCCACCTGCCGGTCCAACCCTGTCCCTGGCTGGTGAGGCTCCCTTCTGGCTCAGTGGGAGGAAGGCAGAGATTCACCGCTGAATCAGGGCTGGGCTCCAGACCTCGCTGCATCCATGGTGGGCTCCCTCCAAAGGCTCTCCATGCTCTGAGAAGCCCCTTACCTTTGCTCCCCCCACAGCCAAACCTGAGCTGGACGTTAATTAGCAGTCAGACTGATTCCTCCCCTCCACACGCCCACAGACAACGCCAAGCAAGGGAAGGCACAGTCTGTGTTCCTTTTTAAGAGCCCAAATCACTGTAAGACCCAGTTTAAAGACTGCA